AGGAGGAGGAGGAGGAGAGGAGGAGGAGGAGGGGGGGGGAGGGGGAGGAGGAGGAGGAGGAGGAGGAGGAGGGAGGAGGAGGAGGAGGAGGAGGGAGAGGGAGGAGGAAAGGGGGAGGAGGAGGAGGAGGAGGAGGAGGAGGTTTCTTCCCTGTCCCGAGGAGGACGCTTCCCTGTCTCTCGCCACCTCGTCCTCGGCAGGTCCCCCCGCAGCGCGCTGCCGAACTCGGCAGGTGTTCGAGGCGGACGTCTTGGGCCCGTCGGAGCTTATGGGATCCTCCGTCGTCAGCCTCGATGACCTGATCCGGCTGCCGGCGAAACCACAGGCGGACCCACAGGCATGCCAGAGGGACGGAGGGAAGGAGGGAGGGAATGAATGTAAGACGGATAGATGAGGAGGAGGAGGAGGAGGAGGAGGAGGAGGAGGAGGAGGAGCACGAGGAGGAGGAGGAGGAGGAGGAGGAGGAGGACCAGTGTAATCCAAAGACTCACCAACGATGTTGGAATACACCCTCCCTCCAATCTCCCTCTTCATAGACTCTACGACGGTTCATTTCCACTGAGGGAAATGGCCCGCTGGCGGACAATAGTGTGAACATCCTGAAGCGTGTCAAAACATTATTCTCTGGACTTCAACGACGAGTCAACCTGACTGTTGCGTCTTGACGACCCTGAATCGTACCCGAGCACCATTCCTGAGACTTCAACACCGCGAATCAACGTACGTGTTGCGCCTTGACAATCCTGACTCGTTCTAAAACATCGTTTTGGTACGTTGGCCATATGAACCAGTGAAACTCTTGCAGAGATTTGAAATGAATGTGCGCGGGGCTAAGGCGAGAGCCACAGTTTGAAAACGAACCGCCCTCAATATGTGATTTTTTTGCAAGGTTTTGAAATCGAATGTGCGCGGTGCTACGGTGAACACCACATTTTGAAAATGAGCCGCCCTCAATCCGTGAAGCCTGTGCACATTTTTAAACAGTATTCGCGGCGCTGAGGCGAGAGCCGCATTTTGGAAGCGATGCGCCTTTCGTCTCTGAAGCCCCTGCAACTTCTTAGAACGAATGTGCGTGGCGCTACAGCGAGGGGGTCATTTTGAAAACAAGCCGCCTTCAATCCGTAAAACACTTGTTGTAAAATTTTAAAACGACTGTGCGCGGCGCTGCGGCGAGCACCACATTTTGAAAATGAGCCGCCCTCAATCCGTGAAGCTCTTGCAGTCTTTGAGAACAATTTGCACGGCGCTCAGGCGAGAGCCGCATTTTGGAAGCGAACCGCCCTTCTTCGGTGAACTTGTTGTCAGTTTTTTCAGCTTGAGGCTCAGACATGGTAAGGAAGTCTCAGGGAACCCCCCCGGCCCGCACTTCTGACTGGCCTTGGGGTGCGGCGCGGATGAGTTATTCATAAGGAACAGGGATGGAAGAGAAGGAGGAGTAGGAGAAGGAGGAGGAAAGTGGATGAGGAGGAGAATGGGGGACCAGGAGGATGAGGAGTGGGACGCGGAGAGGGAAGAGGACTAGGAGGAATAATGGAACATGGGGATGAGGAGGAGAAGGTGGGGGGAGGATGCGGAGGATGAGGAGGAGGATAACGAGGCGAAGTGGAGGAGGGATGCGAGAGGATGAATATGAGGGAGACGAGCATTAGCAGTACTATGAGAAACATGATGCGCAGGAGGAAAAGGAGGAGCAGAAGGAGGGGAAGCTGGAGGAGTAGGAGGATGAGGAGGAGGGACAACATTAGCGAGTGATTCTTATGGGGGAGGAGGTTTCGCATGTTCCTTCACCTTGCACTTATGCCAGAACGATGCCTGTGTGAGCATATGCTTCCCTCCTCACCCCCATCTCTTCTCCACACGTCCTCGAATAGGCGAGCAAGCCGCGCCGATGAAAAGCCGAGGTGGAGGGCGGATCAAAGATGGAATGGCGCAGCATCGGATGGAGGAGCCTTCTGCACAGCATCGCTCGACTGTTCCGCGTCGGGCACGCGTGGTCTGCTCTTCTTCTCATCCTGGTCGGGGGTAGGGCTCTGCGAGATCCACGGGGCGGCCCGCTTGGGCTCGGGGGGCACAGGGGTGAGGGCCCGTGGGGCCCGATGTCTGTCCAGATCTCCAGCGTCGCGATCAGGTGGTGCGGCTGGCGTGCTTTCAGACCCTACGCCTCGCAAAATATGGCCCGCGGCGAAATATGTATCGGTTCCTCGGCCCAGGGGTTTAGGGCACGGCTCGGGTCGTCAAAAATCATGCAGTCGAGTGCCGGGGTTCATGGGCCCGTGCCTGGAGCAGTGATTGTAAGGGTGTCTCCACATTAAAAGCAGCACCCACGGTGGACTTTCACTTTCCCAGTTGCACGCGCGAAACCTCGCCACCGTGTCAGTGCAGCATCGAAATATGTGCACGATCTTTCCACCTGTTTCTCCCGAAGGGGCTCAGTATAACCATGGTTCTACGGAGCTCCCCCAGGGCTCAAGCACGCTTTGGGTCGTCATGAGCGCGGTCCTTCGACCGAGCTCTGCCCGACGAAGCTCGGTAGAACCATCCTGTGGCCGTCCTGGAGCCCTCTTGGGGTGGTCTCGAGTCGCCTTGGGATCTTCGTGCCGTCTGGGGGCCTCCAGAGGGTCTGTCTGAGGCCATATCTCGTCGGCTTCTTGAAGCCTTCTTGGGCCCTCTTGGCGCCCGCTGAAGTCTTGCTGAAGCCGGCTGGGGCCGAACAACCAGCCTGTCCGGTTCCCTTGTGGACACCCTGGGGCCTCTGGGGGGGTAAAACAGGGCTAGGATCGGGATAAATCGCTCCAGAGCGTTCCGGAGCGCTCTCAGAGCGTTCCGGAACGCTCTGGAGCGGCCGCGGCGCCCAATACATCCTCCAAACCCGCCGATTCTCAGAGATTTCGAGTTATCCCGATCCGATTTTGTCCCGATCTTCGCGTCGTTTAGTCTCGGAGCCGCCCTGGGGCATCCTGCAGGCGTCTTGGGCCGCGCCCCGGGGCCGTCCTGGGGCCACGCGGAGCGCAGAGCAGCACGGCGCCTGGGGCGCGCGATCTGCTTTCGCGCGTGCGGGGTGGCGGGGGGTGGCCGTCCCTGGAAGGCACGGTGAGGTCGCTGTACATGGAGCCAGGGTCAGGGGGCCACATGCGAACCCTACCCCTACCCCCCACGATTTCTGCGGGGGATGGTGGGGTTCACTTCGCTCGAGAGCTCCCGAACGAAGTGAACCCCACCCTCCCCCGCAGAACTCGTGGGGGGTAGGGGTAGGGTTCGCATGTGGCCCCCTAAGGGTCTGCAGGCCGGTGGAAATCCACGAAGTGTCGCCGCTGCCCTCACTGGAGCAGGAGTCCTCCAGAGTCTGAAGCCTTCTGGGCGCACTCCGGAGCGAGCGCCCCCACCGCAGGGGAGAAGCCCAGCTCGTGTCAGCGCGCCGCTGGCTCGGCGGCGCATACTTTGAGAATCGGTGTGCCCAGGATCGGAGGGCACCAACTATACACCAACACCGATCCTGGCCAGGATCGGTGTTGGTGTATAGTTGGTGCCTTCCTACAGGAGCCCCCCGGGAGGGACTCTCCTTCCTTCTCCTGCTCTCCGCTGCCGCCTTTGGCTCAGGGGAGGAGGAGGAGGAGGAGGAGGAGGAGGAGGAGGAGGAGGAGGAGGAGGAGGAGGAGGAGGAGGAGGAGGAGGAGGAGAAGGAGGAGGATGAGGAGGAGGAGGAGGAGGTGCTTCCTGATCGTGCACGTTGCCCCCGCAGGGGAAAGTTCATCGGTCGCGTCCCGGTTGCGGGCCGCCCCGGGGGGATCCTCGGCCGAGCCTCCCTGCACAGAGCACGGGCGGGGCTGCCCGCGCTCGCCCAGGATGAAGGCTCGGGCCCCCAGGCTTGCTCGCGGGGGGGGGGGGGGAGGCGTCTGAAGGGTCCTGGCGGGGCCTGGTCCACGGGAAGAACACTGCTCTTGGACCGATTCGTTACTCCAGATTTCGTAATAAAAGGGAGGGGGTCTGGACCCTCCAAGACAAGCCATTTCAGACCTCCCCCGTGGGAGAACACTCCAAAACATCGTCCCCAGACCCCCCAGGCCCTCCAAGATAGCCTGGAAGAGACCCCCCCCCCGAAATGAGACCCCCCTCCCTTTATTACGAAATCTGGAGTAGGTTTGGCGGGAGGTGCCCGTAGGTGAACATCGTGCAGGCGTGCACTCTCATTTGCGGACTTGTGCTGCTCCGGCTCGGCACCTACGACATGCCCGCGCCCCACAAGTTTAAGTTTGGCCTTATCCCTCCGCTCTTGCCCATCGCACCCAAGCCATATCCCTCTCTCATGTCCGCGTTTGCGGGGGTGTACGGGTATCAGTAAGCATCTCGACACACGCACACATTATATATGTATACTGGAGCCGGATGACGACTTCGACATGCTTCAACAAGGCCCGCACATCGCTTCGACACCCCGAACACTTAACGGAACACATCATAAAGATGGGCTGCGCTCGGATATGCAGCACTCCTCCTTCCTTTCTCTTCCTTACCCTCCCCCTCGTCGTTGTTATTGTTCTCATTGTACTTATTTCCGCCGGCAGGCTTCAGTGACAGGTCCCATGAAGGTGTTGAACCTGACCCTCCCGAAGAACTCATCCAAGGGCAGGCCCAAGAAAGTGGAGACAACAGGCAACATCACTGTCCAGGCTGCTGGCCCGAGAGACGAAGTTGGTCCCTGATCTTCATATGTTCATCCTCTTCGGTGGCTTGTCCACGTCTGGTCAGTATGCGTGTTTATTGATCTCCTTCACGCTGCAAATTTCGTGTGCATGTCGGCAGAGTGGGGCCAGGGGTGTGGTGACGCCACGTCTTCACAGGGTGGAGACGTGGACCACAGAGGGGGTATCAGCACGGCGACTAGCACGCGCGCGTTTAGGACGTGTTTGCACATGCGTAGGCGTCGCGGCGCCTAGAGGGGTATTCAGCATGCAGTATTCGTATACGCCACTCGCGAAGATATGTGCTCGGATGGTCAGTAT